TCGAGTCTCTCAATTTTTCAGTTTTATTCATTCAGTCTCTCTGTGAGAGACTCGAATCTCTGAATTAACAATTTTATCGTTCGAGTCTCTCATACAGAGACTGTGAGAGACCCATAAAAACACCTAGGCAATAACTGAGAGACTGAAAATTTTTGTCTAGGGTTGATTAGTATAAAAGTGATTGTTATTTCACTGTAGGTAAATAAAAATTCAGTAGGGTATCTTTAAGCCTGACCGAGACTAATTATTGTGAATAAGAGAAATCACAATTAAGACTAAAATAATTAAATGGTTAGTTTTATTGACCACTGATACTAACTTGAAATAAATTGAAAATTATAAAAACTTACCCCGCCAATATCGTCTGTTCTTCTATTTTCTCCAATACGCCTTTTATAAAAAGTGCTTGCCAATAGTTTACTCTAAAATGGATTATTAGTCAGTTCGTGCCTACTCTAACCAATTTAATTGTGCTTTTCACCTTTCTGTTAAGTATTTGACACTGCCATGATATGCAAAATAGTTTCATAATATTGAAAATAATGTAGAAAAGGTATGTCGAAATACCCACTGGAACAGACGCAGTAAAAAACACACAAGCAATGTATAAACAAAAAGTCAAATTAACAATTCCATAGATTATTGATAGCAGGAGTAACGATCCAAAAATCTTTTACAGCATGTCATACGATCTTCTTATATTTTCGTAATCAGTGAGGTATTGCAGAAAATACTTGATTGGTTTGTCACTTTCGATTTTCCTGTTTAACTCATCTAACTGTTTTTCCAAACAAATCAGTAAAACTAGTAGAGTTAGATCGTTTAGCAAGAAAACAAATCCAATTAAAAATGAAAAAACGGCGAAGAGAATGTGAAAAGATGAAGGGAAGTATGACATAATGAATGGGTCAAAAAATGGTATTAATTTGACAAAAGCAATCGTATTAGCGAAAATTCTTAGCCGTTTCAAATCATCTTTTCTTATTTTCGAGGTGATTTCTTCTACAATATCACTCAATGATTCTGACTTTTTGAAACGTATTATTTGAAACACGACAAATGCAGAAATACTGAAAGAGTTTAGAAATACTGAAATATTTTCACGAAAGTTACGTGGTGGTGTAACTAAACATGCAGAAAGCAGTCCAATCGGCATAGCAAGAGTGATGACTAATGGGAAAAACGATAAAACTTTATTTTTTTTGTGGTCAATTGATTGAACACCACAAACACTCCAAATGTTGAGTATAAAATTCATGTTATCGAAGCTACTGGCAAACTGCTAAAAACACTTCTGTATATAAACGAGTCAGATAATGGCGGCTATGGTTTTCTTTGCTTTTAATATTTAAAGAAAAAGTTAATTTAGTCCGTGTATTGAAATTATCCTTACTATTTTTAGGCATTGTAGAATATTTTGAATCAGATAATTCCTTGCAGTCGTACTTAGCAGACTTCCAAACTGTAATAACTGCTTCGATTTTCTTATAAAAAATTAATGGTTGTAAACAACAAATTATAGCTGATATGTACATGTTTATGTTGGGAATTTTTAGTCGTTTAACACATGCATACACTAAATAATTACAACTTTTGCATGCTTGTAGCGGATCATTTTTAGCTTATTGTAATGAAATAGTCAAGAGGATGATGGTTTCTGGATCCAAATTCTTCTTATTCTTTATATAGTGCCAATGTGTGTTCCTTCGATCTAGGGGTGGATTCCCTAAGAAGGTAAAAATTGGCACCCTCAAAATAACTACAGAACTCGATAGGTAGATGAATTCTAACGATAAGCAAAAATTGTTCTTTACATATTTTCATTGAAAGTAATCGAAATCCATGTACCTACAATTAGCTTCATTAAGGTACTAATAGCTCGAGATAAAAATGTTCAATTTCTCAGAATCTCTGAAAGCGGGACTCAAGTCTCCGTCTCTTATCGAGTCTCTCTGGTGTCGCTGAGAAAGACTGTCAAAAAAACTGTTTAGCGTCTCGGAAGGAGAGACTCGAATCTCTGAACGAGAGATTCGAATCTCTGAATTAACAATTTTATCGTTCGAGTCTCTCATACAGAGACTGTGAGAGATGTATAAAAACGCTTAGGCAC